GGAATGAGTATTAAAGATACTTATAGGAAATCAATACCCTTACCATTCTGAAGAGATGATGAGCACAAATTTTCATAATTATCATTATCTACTTGTCATATTTCTCAATTTTAATTAAATTAATTGATTCTAAATCCTTTTTTCTGTTGTAGATTTACCACTAATTGAATTCTGTTTCTTTCATGATCCCCAATACTTTCAGTGACATTGTGATCTAGCATGAGAAGTTCAATGAAAATATTTTTGAACAAAAATCCCATATCTTCCACAAGTTGACTATGTTAGCATTGTTTTTATTTTGTCTTGTCAATACCCACAGACATTACCAACTCTGAAAAAGGATAGAGTTCGAAGTTGATATTATTTACATATCTCTATACTGTGTCGCGCGTTTTTTCATTCAGCTAAAGGATAGCCTTTATTTCATACACAGACAGCCATAATTACTTTCACTTTTACTTATACAAGCCCTTAGAAAATTAAAAATCGGATGGTCCAGAAGACATGAATAACTTTTTGTGTGAAATTTTCCTATTTATATAATGTTATTAATTGTCATCTAACTTCATGTTGAAACATATATACCGTAAAATTCTCTTCAAACATTCTATATAATGTTTTATTACAAAGTATTAGAAGATAAAGGTACACGAAAAAATATTCAAGATCTCCGAAGCTACCAGCATTCTAAAGCACGGTGTATCATTCCTTAACTTTTTGCTAAGCGGTGACAAAAGAATAAGAATATATAAAATTAAATTTTCTGATGCTGTGACGAATGCAGATCTAGTCCTTAGAAAAAAAAGTGATGGAAAAAGTTGATTCTAGGTTGAGTAACAACATACATTTTTAATCAATTAGGAATCGATAATGAATTGACTTTGATTTGTTTTTATTGTAATAGATTCGCTACTAATTGACAATCAATAAAGGAATAATGATTTTAGTCATTTAAAATAGATCTTTTCTAACTTTTACATGAATTTATTTTTACATGAAAGTGTGTCCGCAGTTTGTACAGGTAGGCATTGTAGCTCTCTCTTTAATGAAATTACCTGCTTATTCAGAACGATGCCAATTTTCATCGAGCGATTTTGACTAGAAATCGATCGTTCTTTCGAGAAAACGTTTTGTAAGTGAACTGAAAACTATGACGTTTTTTATACTCCGTCTAACTAGAAGTACCTTTGGAAATGAACAGTCTTTGTTCTACCCTTAGTTTCACATGCTCTCAATTATAAAGAAGCATTAGACCTTTGTTTAATTGGAAATGTGACAATTCTCATGGACTTTTCAATTAGAGACTTTTCAATGTAGTGATGTATATTGAATTCAATGACTAGTACGAATTTTTATGAAGATTATTATTTCTTTCTATGGTACTTTTATCATGATATTGACGTGGAAAACTACACAGGTCCAGGCAGGCCTGATAAAATGACAGGCAGGCAGGCCAGGCCGAGGAAATCAGAGAACAGGCGCAGGCAGGCTATAAGGTATGTAAGCCTGTCACAGGCAGGTCAGGCCTTCAAAAAGTGGGCCTGTTTGGACCTCTAGAGGTTACACAAGTTTCTACCACGATTTATCCCAATTTGTTGCTTACCTATTTTTTTCAAATTACCGTTTTTGTCTCTTGATGCATTCACGAGATTTCACTTCACTTGGTGGATCAGGAAATGTAGTTCTTCTTTGCAGTCAAGCTGGGATCTCACAAGATTCTGTTTACGTTTTATCATACTGCTAGAACGTAACCGTTTCCGATGAACGATATTCACAGTAAGTTTCTCTTTCCAGCATACACCCAGTTGCATAAACTTCCCTTTTCGATTAACTTCTGGCTTCGCCACTGAAAACTTCAGTTTACACAGACTCACGCAGTCGCTGTTCGTTTTTCAAACTTCAATTATCAGTATGAAATAACTCGAAAATAAGTGCTTAGAATGTAACCAAATTGTATTGCGCTTCCATCGAAATGACTATAGCCGCCACTCGAAAAACAATAAAACTATCCATGGTATCAAATGATTTTAAAACTTTTTAGAAACCAACATGCAAATTAGTGAACGAACTATTATATGAAAATATCTAAGATCGTGCGTTTATCTATTTACTGATCGGACGTACTTTCTATCCTTTTCTTCTCATACACATATATTATTGAATTATCACGCGTTAAGCGCGTGACACTTTCTTTGTCTCTTTTTTTTTTCTTTTTCTTTTTCTTTCCTCAATTTTGATAATATCGTCATTTTATGACTAATTATCATTCTAATAAAAATATGGTTCATAATATTCACCAGCAAAAATGTTATTCCATTGATAATCTAATCGATCAATCGTCGAAATCATGTTCGAATAATAAACGTCTTTGTCCAGTTACACATGATGTTTCACAGTCCATTGTTCATTGTATTAATGATTTAAATCATCGACAACAACGTCCTCCACCACCACTTATGTCAAATTCAACTATGATTAATTCTCCTGCTCGTAGTAAACGTGGTTCACCATCAAGTGACCCTGATGAAGATGATTTTCAAGTTATAACTCGTCAAAAAAAAGAAAACAAATCGATCTATTCAATCGTCAACAACTTCATCATCAACAAAATTTGTCTGTTACACCAAATAAATCACCATCAAATACAATTCGATTTATTTCTTCACGTACAATCACGAATTCTAACAACATTAACAATCAACGTGGTCCACCAGATCATCAAAATGTAACAACAGCCTCTGCTCGTTATGCAACATCAAGATTCCCGTTCCCGCCTTATATTATACGCTTTAAATCAAATCAAGTTACTTTAAATAAATTTAAAGAAGAAGTGGTTAAACCATTTCAAGTATAAGCATCAGATAGACATTGAAATTCTTAATTGTCGTTCATCTAAGGTAAAATGTGTTGATGATGATATGGATATTCTTCTTTACGTTAAGGACTCTATTTCTTTTGCTTCATTACATGATGAAACTAAATGGCCATTAAAAATTGCTGGTGAAGATTATATGTTTCCTTCTCGACCGTCAATTCCCCCTCAGCTTTCAGTCATTATCAAAAATGTCAATGTTCGAATTGATTTTGAGGAGTTTACAAATGATGTAAAATCCATGATCCCTGAAGTAATTAATGTAATTCGAATGAAAAACAAATTCGCTAATATTATCCATATGGTTAAACTAGAACTTTCATCTGTTTCTGCTCGTCAAGATCTACTTGATGCTAAAAAATTAATGATAAATTACATCTCCTATGAAATTACTGAATTTCTCTCACCTGCACAAGTTTTAATCTGCTCAAAATGTAGCGGAATTGGTCATTTCCGCAAGCAATGTTCTGAGCAAGATGAAACGTGTAAAAATTGTGCTCAAGCTTTTCCTGATCTCAAATCTCATCAATGTTCAGCTAGTCCTGTTTGTAAACATTGTCAAGGTAATCATCTATCCAACTCGATGAAGTGCCCGGTCATCAAATCGTTTAGAGCTGAACTTACTAGGAAGCTTTTGTCTTCAAATACTAATCCAACAGCTGTAACACCAAATAATAATAATAATTATCGTTTTGATCCATTAAATTTTCCTCCACTTCCATCTACTCAAGCACAATTGAATAACCCGATGATGTCTAAACTTGATGATCTTATTGTTAAAATAAACGATGTCAAAGATCATCTTGCAAGTTTAACAGTAAAACACGATAAATTTGAAAAATTTATGGTCGAAAAAGCCAAACAGGATTCTCATGTTAGTCATCAAATTGATATATTAACAGCGAATGATCAAGAATTAAGAAAAGATTTACTTAATCATCATATGTTACTTGAACGTCATGAAAATATATTTATTAAATAGTTTTCCCCAATGTTAGAAGATTTATTCTCGTGGATTGCCGTCCATAACCAGGACAAAAAAGGCAACACACTCGATGCCGATTTAAAATGTAGACTTGAACGTTATGTTGTTCAAATGAGAAAAACAAGGGAAGGTAAACACCGTTTTAATTAATGACTTTATCACCTGACACTTTTTCTTTTTTTTCTTGTACCTCCTCATCAAAACTATGTAAACGTGAAAATTTTTTGTTAAGAGCTAGTGAAAATTTATCCCATTTCGATTATACTTTATTCTCGAACATTCTGTCGGAATGGGAGGGTTCTTCTTTTCTATCCTCATGTTTTTCTATCTGGCAAAAATATGTACCTTGTGACAATACTTCTTTTATCTCTGCTCTTCATGTTCTATCATTTAGGGATGCATCGGTGCACCGGTGGGCGGTGCACCGGTGGTACGGTGCACCGGTGGAGCGGTGCATCGGGGGTACGGTGACACCGGTGGGCGGTGCACCGAGGGTGCGGTGACACCGGTTGGCGGTGCACCGGGGGTACGGTGACACCGGTGGGCGGTGCACCGAGGGTGCGGTGACACCGGTTGGCGGTGCACCGGGGGTACGGTGACACCGGTGGGCGGTGCACCGACACTACGGTGCACCGGGGGTACGGTGGGCCGGTGGCACCGGTGTACCGGTCAATTTNATCTCAAAAGCCAAAATAACAGAGGTGTTTACATAAAGTACACTTATGCCCAAGTCGCTGGCTGCACAGTTGTAGTTGTCGTAGTATGTCCTGTCCGGTGCACACGGTGCACCGTATACGGGTGTACCGGTGGTACGGTGAACCGGTGGTACGGTGCACCGATGGTACGGTGCACCGGTACTACGGTGCATCGGTGGTACGGTGCACCGGTAGTACGGTGAACCGGTGGTACGGTGCACCGATGGTACGGTGCACCGATGGCACGGTGCACCGATGGACGGTGGACCACCGTCACCGTTGCATCCCTACTATCATTCAACGTGCGTGGGTTTGATCTGAGATGGCAGGAAATCCTTCTGCTTACAACCTCTTTTAAATTTGATCTTCTCATCCTTTTTGAAACAGGTTCAACTGATATTTCACTATGTCAAAAAGCATTCTCGAATTATACGATCTTCTATCAAAAAGGGGAAAACCGTAATGGTGGAGTCTTAGTTTTAGTTAGACGCGGAATAATGGTCAATAGAGTCGACTGCAAGCTACCAAATGTTTGTGTGATTGACATTAAAGCTGAAGAAAATCTTCGTATTGTTGGAGTATATGCCTCTGAGAGTAAATCATGGACGTGGGATGATATATCTCCTTTTATTACAGAAAAATGTGTTCTCTACGGGGACTTTAATGTTGACCTATTGCAAGATAGTAATAAAGCAGATAAACTGTGGTGCTGGGCTGATATGAATTATTTAGCCCCATATGTACCGGATACAGCAACTTCTCTTCGTTCCAATAGAGTTATTGATTATGCGTTTGCGGGTGGTGTAAACATCGATATCCAAACATACAAAGGCAACACAACGAGTGATCATCTCCCAATTCTCTCAGTTATCCCAACGAGAATAAAGGAAAATGTTTTGAGTAAAAATACATATTGGAAGGTATTTGCACTTTTCACTGACTATACATACACTTACTGGGAGAGAATATGGGATAAAAGTAACCTTGATGAAGCATATAATGACTATATCAAGTTTCTATATCTTCTTTCGGCTCGTTGTACAATTACTTTTCCGATTGATAGATATCGCATGGCAATCCCTGCTGAACTAAGATCTTTTTTGTCTTATGTAAGAGCTCTATCCTTTCGTCAAATAAGAACTAGAAGTTCTGTGCTGAAAAATGAAGTCTCCTTTTTAAGGAAAGTTGCGAAAAAAGAATTAAAGTCTTTTCTTTCTCTGCAACTCTCTTCAATGCTTAACTGTCGTAACACACCCGCTCCGATCGCTGTTTCATTCTGGTCGAAAACCAAACGTTATCTTAAACTCTCCTCCTCCTCCCTCCACGCACTTATTGATCCATTAGGAAGGATCATTAGGAAACCTGAGGAAATGTGTGAAGCTGCTGCTAATTTTTACGAAGATTTCTTTAAACAACAGGAGGTCGTAAGACCACATCCTTATACTGATTCACCCTTGGTCGAATTCGACAATGAAGATGAAAAGATTCTTGAAGTTTCTATTGATGAATTACTTGATACGGTACAGGCAAAACGAAAGAAGAAATCTTTGGATGCTCATGGAATCTCAAACTTTATGTTCAGTTTTCTAGCCTCGTCGAACTGGTCCCTACTTCTTCAACTCTATAACCTCTCTTTCCAAAAAGCTACCCTACCTTTGGCCTGGAAAGACACTCGAATAATCCTCCTAGCTAAAAAAGAGTCTATCTGCTCTCCTGCCGCAACGCGGCCAATTTCACTGCTCGATGCCTTTCAGAAAGTTGGTGAGAAACTATTTCTTACACGTTTTAAGGATGTTTTAGACAGAAGAGGTATACTTCCCGACAGTCAATCAGGATTTAGAGACAACTTTAGATTACAAACGCGCTTACTACTATTCCTAGAAGATATATATAGTTTTATGGCGAATAGTGCTCCTGTTTGCACCGTTTTCGTTGATTACAAGTCCGCATTTGACCAACTCTGGTTCGCCGGGTACATAGGTAAATTACGTAGATTAGGTATTCCTCCGTCGTATATTGCCTGGATAGATGCATGGCTTCGAAATAGACGTGGTTTTATAGAAATCAATGGTAGAAAATCGCGTTGGTTCTCGATCGAAAAAGGTGGCCCTCAAGGCGGAATACTAACTCCTAGTTTATTTATAACATATCATTGTGATATGGGTCAATTCCTTTCGGGGTGTTCGAGTCACTTTTTCGCGGATGATCTTGCTGCAATTGTTTCTGAGCAAATAGGTAAACGTTTTACTGTGCAATGTTTAGACCTGGAAAAACGAATTAAACGGTTTCTTGATCAGCTTGAATATTACTCATGTTTGTCCATGCAACCGCTAAACTTCTCCAAAACTGAGGCGGTATTTAGTGCTCGTGCTATAGGTCTACCGAATTTTAATATATCTTTTGGTTTTAACAATGAAAAGATGATCAATTGGACCAAGGAGTTTAAGTATTTAGGTTATTGGATCACCCCCAAATTAGGCTGGAGTAACATGATCCNTTGATGTTAATGGACAATATTGTTCACTAAATCTTTGTTCATATAATTGACAAGTATCTTGAAATGCTTGTTCTTTGATATGTTGTTGAATGTCATTGATCAATAATGAATGATCAGTAACTCGACGAAACAAACGAAGACAATCGGCTTGATATATTTCAGATCGAAGTAAATGAGTTTGCCAAACAATTTCAATATCTATAGTAGGAATCAATAGAATATTAGCTGGATGATATGCTTTCAATTGCATAAAATGGTAGTATATTGTTATCATTTGTTTTAAAATAGATGATTTTTGCCATTGTTTTCGAAATTTCGACGCTTTTTCTAATATTGTCAGAAGTTCAGGAGTTGTCTTGCTAATATCGACTGATAGTTTAAGCATCCTGAAAGATAAACAAAACATCATCTCATTCAATAATTAGAACTTTTCTCTGTTTGTTTTAGAAACTAGACATAATCCAAAATCGATCTGTCGAGCTGCTTATAATGCATTGTAAACTGATGTATTATATGAGACGTTTTATTAGTTAGAGAAAATAAAACATCTAGTTGAATAATATTAAGTTTATTAATATGTTAACTATTGTTTTTTTATGTATCTCTTCTATCTTACATTGGTATGTGTCTTTTTTATCATATAAAATTTTTGAAGTATATTTTAGATTTACTTTTAAGATTTATATGATAAATATAAAAATAATTTATGGTAATATTAAAAATTCATTGATCAAATATTTCAATATAACATGTCGAAAGAAAAATATTTTCTTACTTGTAAACTGATACATTCGGATGGTTTTCGAATCCACCTATTGATTCAAATGTATGTTTATTCGAATATCGGGGACGATAATAGGGAATTAGACCTTCAACACATGCAGTTCTGTATCCGAACCAATCAGACATATCTCGTAGGTATATATTGCGTGAACTTTTTTCATGAATTCATTTCATATAAATTTGTTAAAATGGTTTGGAATATAATTTTGTTGATGCTAATCAATCGTTAGTTTTTAGCATTAATATTTACATAGAATTAAGAAAGAAAAATAATACTTACTATTACATTTTAATTTCCATATATCATCATGATCGGCGACCATTTTAAATGATCGACAGACCAATGAAACATTGCATAAATCTCGAACGGATAGATATTAAAATATACCCAAGACACTTTCATTAGGAATGGTGATAAATGACGAATCAGAGAGTGCATCTCGTGTTTCATTAAAAGACAAAATATGTTACCCAGTAACATTCGACTCACTTGATTGTATATTCTTGGATTCAACAGAGCTAGCACTATTCGTTGTTTGGCTGCCATTCATTGAATAATCTACTAAAACAAAAAAAATAACAATCTTCTTCAAATACTATCACTATTTTGTACAAAACTGGGCGAATTAGGGAACAATCTAAAACGCTTTTAATACAATTCATGTGAAATTAAAATGTGAAAACGATGAGCTTGCACAAGAAAAATGTTTTATTCTGTCTATTTTGGAACAAATTTATTCACCATCTTTTTATTTAATCTTTCAAAAAAAATTGAATTAGAAAGTGATTCATATATTATTATACCAAACGATATTCATATACGATCTGCAAGAATATTGCTAAGACATCTATCGCCATATGTGATGATCTCTGACTAGCGTCTGTCGGATGGTCGTCGAAATTTTTATCCTTATACGTCAACACTGTTTTTAGATTGTATTTCACAAAAAGCAGTTTACTTTATCAATCGCAGCGTGTTGTGTTTGTCAACTAGATATGGAATATGACAATATGTAACTTTAAATGATGAAATTCTTTTTCTTCTCGTTCACATTTATCATAATATTATGTGTGTAGTATTGCTTAATTTTTCATTCGACATGAGTCATTACTCAACCAATCGCCAATGTAGAATAAACGAGTTGCCATGATATTTCTTTGTTTTATTTTGTAATTGAGTTTTCATTTCTAAAAATTTTCTATTTCTATGTGCTTTAGCCATTCACGATGGATATTTTATGTTGAATACTGTGATAATAAGCGATTGAAATTAAAAAAAGGCCTGTAAAATCATCTGGTCAAGACTCTAGTTTCTAAAATCAAGAGAAAGTTTTAATGATGTTTTATATATTATTGAGAAATGTTGAATAAATGAAAAAAAGAAGCCTCAATATTATCGCGTCTAAGATCTTGTTTCAATCTTTTGTGATTTCAATTATATTCCTCGATTACAGTTTCTTTGATAAAGAAAATAATAAGATATATCGCTCATTTAAATCAATGCGAACAAAATTTCTCGACCAAAATCTCTGGATGTGCATTGTGAGTGTGGATACGAATGAAAAGTCACACAAACTTGATTGATGATCAGTTCAAATTACGTGAGTTTATTGAACTTAAATATATTTCGTTTCATTTCTAGACAGTGCATAAGCGTCTAAGATGAAGTAACTTGGCATAGCTTTATTCGTATACGTATCATAAAAGTTTCTTCTCAACTTCTCCAAATGTGGACAATTTTCCAAGCTAAAATATCTTAGTAAACACAGTTTTTCTGATCTAAAAAGAACGCCCTACCCAGACTATTGGATAATATGAAACTAAGAAAGTGCTGAAACCAAATCTTGGTTCATGGAAAAATTTTCATAGTTCTAATAAAAGTTCCAACATAGTTTGAAAACTTCGATTTATGAATTCTTGAGCATTTCTGTGTTTGCGAATAAAAAACATTCAAGGTACAATACGAAAAAAGTTGATGGCAATAAAAAATCACCTCAAACTTTTGACTTTCAAAACAAATTAGAAGCCTAATGGACTTCTATCTGTAATGCAGAAGAGAAGATTTATTCAGTGCAATGATAATAGTTTCATAGAAGTACTCAAAGACAGAGATGAAATCGGTCTGAATTTTCAATGATCGGTACCGGTTCCATCGATGCTTGTGAAACCGTTAGTAAACTTTAAAAATCATCGTTCTTCTTAAGAATATATGCTTACATCAGCTATTGGGTTCAAGTCATATAGATAAGTATATACTATATAGGGTTGCCCAAAAGTAAGGGAACACGGAAATCTTTGCAACCTTTTTCTCTGCATAGATCTATAATACGATCTTATATTTGAATTACATATACTAGATGACAATGCTGCGAGAAAGAGCCTATCAGCAGCCTTTGGTTGTTGTAAGAATTTTTTGGAAAACATACAAATATCTTCTGTATACTCTAATATAACTGTCACATAAGTTCGCTGTTATCTAATCGAAGTCAATATCTTGTTTCATTATTTTTCATTCTTGTGTAGTTTTCTATACAACGAGTCTAAAACAACATACAGATCAATAGAACTCAAATCATCATGTACATTTTAATGCGATATTCGTATGTTTTTCGATAAACTCGTACAACCAAAAGCTGCTAATAGGCTCTTTCTCTGAGTATTATCATCTAGTATATTTGGTTCAAATTTAAGATTGTACTACGGATCTATAAAAAAAAGACTGAAAAGATGTCCTTACTTTTGGGCTAACCTGTATATATGTTATTGAAATGTAGCCAAAGCTTTTAATTGATCGATACTCCCGAACAAATGTTACACGTAGTTTTGGTAAAAACGCCAATATGCTTGAAAGATATTAATTATACATAAGTGATTGAACAATAACTTGAAATAGAAGTGATGAAGTCGAATACCATATTTGTATATTGATATATTGAACTTGAAATACTCAATAAATTTATTATACAATACTTACAGATTTCTTTTAACATTTCGATTTTTCTCATTTATTCACTTTTTCTTATCGCAACAATTTTTTTTAAAATTAGTCTATTTTGTCTTCTTAAGAATCGTTGTTTATTTTAATAAAATCTCGTTCGAACTAATCTGACATATAAATAGAAGTAGTTTTCATTAGAATAGCTCAAGTACAATAAAAGTTAATAATCTCTAATTTAACTGCTGCATAACAAAATTCTTCAGCAATAGTATGTTTCATGAAAAAATGTGATTAAATATTTTAGATCTGTTGTTTAGAAAAACAATTTAACAAATCAGTTTTCTCTATCGATTACAAAAAAAAAGTTTTTTTCTGACTACTTCCGTTGTTACATCAAACGAACAACATTCTAATATTTCTAGTTTGAATTGATGCATTTCATTATACACAAGTGGCAAGAATGTAATCACTTGTGGAAAACATCGAGACAAACGACCAAATTCACCAATATCAAATTCATGTTTATCGTGCAGAAGTGTAGATTTTTTTATAGAATGATTACCTTATATAGAATCTATTTGATCATAAAGTTAAAGATTATGATTACAATCCTTAGACCATGGAAGTGTGTAAAAATATGAGTAGTGTAACATTGGATCAAAAATCCATTTTGATCTGGGTCAAAAAGAACTGTTACATCTAACAATAGATACAAATATTGTTTAGTTTAGTCGTTCTTATTGTCCTCTATGGTGCAGGTACTCTAATTTAAGGCTCAAGAGAATATTAACATCGTGCAACTAATTTTATACAGGTAAAGTATTTTTGATGGCTTTCTAAGTCTTAAAACAGCTCAAAGGATAAACATGGACAAGACAATTTGCTACCTCCAAAATGTTTCGGTTTTTTGTGTTAAAAATAAGTCGATGATGACTTTTAAAAATATTGTAAAGGTTTATTTTGTCACGTATCCTAATCATTTCTTCGACATATGTCCATAGTATTTCCATAAGGCTGACCAAAATCCTGTCGCTATCGATATCGTGGTAAAATATGGGTATAGGTCGAAAAATGGATTGAGACATACATCGAAATAAAGCTTCACAGTAGCATTACGTGTTGCTGCTGACATAATTTCAATGCAGAACCCGAAACATTTTGGTGGATAAAAACGGTATTGCCTGCTTGCGTTCTTTGAATAGAAAAATAATATCAGATTTTCTATTCATCTATGATGTATAATATATATTGATATCTTACCTGTTCACATTTAGTTTTTCATAACAGCCAAGGATGAAAAGACGAAAAGAGACGTGTATTAATTCATTAGACGATTGTAAGGTGACTGATAGAATGAGATAATTGTAAAAGATAAACGAAAAAGTTGATAACATAAAAGGATGCAGAGCGAATGTCATTTGTGCAGGAAGAGAAAAATTACATGCGAATAATTGAAGACGATGTAAATACCACTTGAAAACAAGATCAATGATGTTAAATTATTTAAATTGAGTTGCTTGTTCAAGAATATAAGTGAGAAGCTCTTCCTTAACAAAAAGAAAAAAGAATTGAATTCTCAAGTATATACGATAACTACAATGTGTTGGATATTTATGTTGAGAACGAGTTGAACACAGTTTTCAAAGTACTCATCCTACCTGAGAAAGTCCATTCATGCCCACCTGCGTTACAAACCACAGCTAACACTTTTCCTAGTTGTTTTAAACAATGAGATAGATATATTCGATGAGAATTGAATGATCATAAAGAATATGCCGATCATTATTATTTTCTAAAAACACAGAATACTATTCAACATTTGAAAATATTTTGCTAAGGAATGTTTTTCAATTCCATTTAAATCACTAGCCACTGAAAGAAATAATCGTTGAATGTGTATCAACAGGTTAGATATTAAAAGAAAAGAAACGAGTCTTAAGTAGGACAACAGAAAAAGAGATGTTATTGTTATTGTCAAGAAATATCAGAACATAATAAGGAGCATTTAAAAATAAAAATAAAAACGTTGTCTTTTATTTCAGAAAGGATCTGAACCAAATATAGCCTTAACTGAATCGATTCAAATCCTAGTGAAGATTTTCTTATTTGTTATGATCTCTGAGTTCGAGTTGTGAAGTGATATCAATCTGCCAAGGTTTTCCATTTATTATATAATAAAAAAAATATATTCTAATCCATATTTTGTATGATCATATTAGTTGATATAGAGCTGTATATGCAAGGCTATCAATCATACTGTTAGATACTTTAGTAGGTAGAAAAATTTAGATGAAAAATGCTTATATTACTGGAATGATCTCTCACAAAAATAAAAAGCAAAGAACATTTTATGTAAAACTTAATTAATGTACAATATTCAACTGAAATAAATTTCACTCTACTGCACATGGATATTTTTACCGTTCATTTTTGCTCGCGAAATATTTCTTACCCAAAAAGTATACGTTGTATAAATGGACGAGTTGAAAGTTTTGAGACAAAATGCTTGCTCATTTTGGGCCTATTTAAAAGTAGTTCAGACAAGTCGAAACCTATGGATTAGAAGCAGAATTTAGTGCTCTTTCTAAATATGGGCTTAGAAATTCCGTGTCAAGTTTTTTTCTGAAGTAGTCAGGAAATCTTTGAAAGGTCTGACAACTTAGATTGGAAGGAAAAAATTTCCGCCCTTTTTTATATTTTAACTACTACGATTCGAAACTGAAAGTTGGAACCTTTATTATGCTATCAACTGATAGAGTAAAATCTGACCTATAAAATGTACTAATTGAGTTCTTTTTGCTCGAAACTTTCATGTTTCCTACATTCTCATTTTTGAGAAGTAGTTCTTGATCAAAAGACATTTTACACAAAAAGGAACTGCTGACAAAAAACGCATAATTTCACTTGTGTAAAAGCTGCAACTTAATGCAAAGTCACATTTTATAAAGAAATGTCCGCTCTACAAAACTACCGTATTCGATAACTTTTAGCATGGTCGTAAACGAACATATATGAGTTAGCAAAAATCTATCTATACGTTATTCAAATAAGTTCTTAAGGCTTAGCAAAGATTCCCTCACTACTTCTGAACAAAAATAGATACAAAATTTATAAGCTCCTATATCAGACAAAGCACTAAATTCTGATTCTAATCCATAGGTTTTGACTAATTTGAACTACTTTCCAGTGGACCAAAAATGAGCAAACATTTTGTCTCGAAACTTTCGGCTTGCCTATCATATGAAAACAAATGATTATATCGAAGTTTAATGCACTTGACAATTTTCTTCGATGATTTCCCGAACATTAATAAAATTTTCTCATCGTATAAATCTGACTAAAAACTGACATAAAAAACAATTTAATAAATTATTTCAAAAGAAAAAAAAACAGAATGATGGACTAGTCAAACAAGTGGCCAACTCCTGACCTATGCGCCGTACGCTTAAATAAAACATACTTGTAATGAATGTAAATGTAACAAACTTATATTGGACAACACAGTAGATGGCATGTCATGAACAATATAACTACCAGCAAAATTAACATTTATATTCAATGATTCCATATGACATGATATATATGGAAGTACATTTGCACATAAATAACGAAATATTTTTGATTTGGTAACCATGGATAAATGATAAATATCAACTGAATATCGACGTTCACGCAGTGAATTGTTATAACTAAGTTTGTCATCAAAATTGAAAAATGAATATAAGTTTTCCATATGTGTCAAATACGACATAATTTCGAGTAAAACAAGATCACGCAACAAGACGAAACCATACATATTCTCTTGTTTATCGTACACAGAAAAAAATAACTTTTTTTATTGACCGGACCGTGCTAGCAGACATCCACTGATGTTTATTGTTTAAATAACAGGCGATCAAATGTGTTTGCAGTATAAATGTATAGCAATCAAACTTACATACTCATTGCTGTTTGTTTCCTTTGACAAACAATCATTTTGTTCTAGTCGATATATCAATGTTTTCTTTCTTTTTCTACCACAACATATATATATATATAAATTCCTCTGAATCTAGCCGTCAAAGTTCCCATTATAAAAAATCAATAAAATATATTACTGTTGAATTATTAGCAAATACTTGAATAAGATTTGTCTAACTGATCCGACTTATTTAATATTTTTCGTGCTCCACTTTACAATAAAAAAGATACTCGATGTTAATTTTGTTACATGTAAAACTCTTAAAATGAATCAAAACTTCTCATTGATAGCGAAATATTCACTATGCATGATATTGACTCTTGCTCCTACTTCAACGGCAGAGTTCTGCGTCGAGTCGAGTTTTAAAACCCGACAAGCCCTTCTTTAGGGAGGATAGTTTTGACAGATGCTCTGTACTATTGTTCTAGTGTGTGTGACCAATGCACATCGAACCAACTATCCGGTTTGACAACCGAAGCTGTTGTGCCTGGCGAGAGAGAGAGCTGTCGAGTTTTAAAATCTACCCCGATGTAGGACTCTATTCAATGGTAAAGCGAGAGAAAAATTCAAAGTTGTTTTATATCTAAGTAGAATTGTATTTCAATAGAGCGTTCCGAAAAACTTTAAAACTTTTGGATTAGTCAATGATTGATCGGAAAGTTGGTAAGTTATTTCCTTTTCACTCAATGACTCTACTTACTTTGGAAAAATTTTTTCCATTTAAAAAAGAATAATAAAATATAATTGTGTGACACGTTTAATACAACGTTTATTTGCAGAGTTATTTTATTTGTCTGAGGCATTTGTTAATATTTAAAAAAATCTTTCTCGACTCAAAAAATAAAAAACATTTTGATTTATACGAACTGTATTGCTAAAAAAAACTCTGTAAATATTTTTAATCGTTGCCAAAATATCATCAGGACTAGGCTACTTATTTTAGTTGATGTTAGATTTTATTAGAACTTGAATACAAAAGCTAATTGATACTTTGAGACAACATCTAATATGAAAAACGAAAAAAAGACGAAGCAGTCAAACAATGAAATATCAGTGTATCGAAATAGTTCACACATACTGTTAACTGCTTACTTTATGATCAAGTATTTGATTATTAATAACAAAATCAAATAATAAGCCTTTTTCTTTAATAATGATTCATCATATTCAAGTAATTGAATATATTAAACCAAATATTTGCAATGCATTGTTAAAAGAATGAGATTAAAGAATTAATTAATCCGAGTTCAAGAAAAAATACCTCTTGTTCTTTCTCTCATAGTTATCTTCTTACCGTTCTCTTCATGTTTCCTATTTCTTCAAATGAAAATATTAAGTAAGCATTGAATGTACAGTCTGTTAAAGCACAAAGGTATTCTATTATCCCAGATAAGAACGAAATATTTAAAAATAAAGAATCTATCGCAAAAAAAGAAAGTTTTTCTCAAATGATATAATTTTTCCACAAAACTTGAGAATTCATAGAGCGAAGAAAACGATTTCTTTTTTATATATCATGTATAAATTGCCCCAAATCTCGAAAAATGTCCTCAAGCATATACTTGTATGCACGAGTAGATCCTGCGCTTCTGGAAGTATCTGAGCCTTGATTCAGTGATTTAAAAAAGAAAATATTTTGGTCTTATTTATTCTATGACATAAATTAAGAATTTTTGTTATTATGGTAGATTAACAGTATATGCTTGAACCGATGTTAGTTCTGTTGTGAGGTTATTCTGTCTGTTTTTAATCTTCCGCTTAAGCTTTTACTATATCAACAATGACAGATTGACAACATTTTTTCATGATTTTTTTGATTTCATACAGTGTTTTTCTGTAGTGTAAATGTTAATAAAGATAATTTTTGTAAGGTAAAATTAGTGCATAAATTTTTCCCAAAAATAGTTTTTTTTGTCGTTCTGAAAGAAGTATCGTTTGAATAACACTTGCTATATTTGATATTTTGCAACAATTATTTCGATTGAGATGTATATCAAAACCGATCAGACATAAAAGAAACAATTTTCAAGAGCGATAGTTGTATAAAACATTGTTTTGTTTTTCTACACATTTGTAAGAGTATATGGTAAAAAGAAACTCCTTCTGCAATGAAAACTCTACTTTGTATATATTATAGAGTGGAATTGATCCAACATAATTCATTAGAACATAAGATATAAAGACAAATACCCTGCTCTTTCTTTATCTCTTTTTCTTCTTGTTTTTCTTTTATTATTGATCATAGTTTTGCTTTATTTTTGTTGCTTGTTGTTATATGCTCTTTCTACGGATTTATTCACCAAATTAATCGATGAAATGTTATGTACTACATAGGAACGTTTACTCTAACTTGGATTTCAGATAAATCTAATAAGTATCGATTGTAATAAACTATATCAATTAAATCATATCTTTCCATATCATTTAATCTTGGCCAAATAAATCTGTTTTATTTGTCTATCAATGTCAAATTAAATGTTAACTTTATAGATTATTAAATAATTATCGAACAAACGGTTAACATAAAAAACACTTTGCTCAGTTGAATTTTTTCAACAACTCAAATATCAGTTTGATAAAGAGAATTATTTAGACTTGGTATCTCCTAACTAATGATTGTGTCTATTTCAAAGTTATATCACTTTTGAACTGAGGTTACGTTTGATACGGGTGTGGTGTTTTACCATAAATATAAGAAAAATAAATGAGGCTAATTTTGTTTTTCATGTCTGTACAGTTTAAAAACGAAAAAAAATTGAAAAGAATGATCAGGATCTTATCAACTTATTTCAAAAATAAATAAAAAGATTATATGACAAAATGAATCAAAGCTAACGTCTCTGTTATAGCTGCTAGGTATGATTTGCCTATTTTTTCTTCTTTAGTATGTATTATTTTTATTTTCGGTCTGATTTTTCCGTTGGTATGTATTATATTCTCTTCTTTCTCTGATACGTGCTTGGTATGGCAAGATATGTGAGAGCAGTCTGTTGAGTGAGAAGAGAGAGGCATTTAATCATTTTGTTTTGTACGAAAGAGTGAAAAAGAAAGAAAAAGTGGAGACAAATAACATCACTAGTAGTCTCTTTTCCAACTAGGAGAGTACAATATTTACAAACCAAGTTAAAATTGTAAGTTTATTCTGTATGACTTAATGTTTTTCCAATTATGTAGGACTTGACTTTGCGTATGATCCATCCTAAAAAAAAACCACTTAAAAATATAAACATTCTATACAGATGTAAATTCTTTCGTTCAATATGATGTCTTTTCGTTGAAAATCTCGAAGTCTGAGATATGTTATAATAACTTTCAACTTTCATTTTCATTTACTTTTATTAATTTCTTTGTATATAGCTAACATCTTCAATTATTGTTTAATACAGACATCAGCACTATTCAATATTTTCATCTATAAGATTCTTCAATTTCCAGTTTCATTTTATTCAAAGTTAATTTTTGACTTTCAATTTTTTGACTTATTGTTTTTTATCAAGTTCACGAAGATATGCAAAATCCAACATGAATAAAACATTTGATTTATGCTGTCCACTAACCATCCGGATAATAGTTATAAAATATCTAGAAATAGAAATAAATAATTGTCTGTATTTGAAATTTTATCCATGAACGAATCAGTATTACATAACGTCTAAAGTTAGTAGATTTTTTCATATATAATTTGAAAAGGAACAAATAGGTAATAAATAATGGCAGATTTCTTACTGATTCGTATGATATAAATACTAAATATAAAATTACAATCGGATGATAGACGACTCTTACCATTCGTTAAAATCAATGAGTTGATTGATAGGACAATTTCGAGATTAGGTATTGATTTCACTACTTTAACAAACACTCACTGACTGACTAAAAAAGAAAGATTAATATTGAACAGTTATGCAACGAATATTCCATAGAGGGAGCTCACTAAATGCAGTAAAGTATACAATACATCTACTTTCGAATGAAATAAATTATTAAATAACAATTCGAATTTCATGAAGGCATATTCTCATGTGATGCCAACATTGTTTCTAGTAGACGTGTTGGAATTCGATCTTTGAATAGATAAACAGAGCTTGAAGTTGCTTATATTACCAGCATACGTTTTTTCGAAACAAAAAAAATAAAACCTAATTATGTCTCGTCGACAACAAGTGTTATATCAATTACAAACTGGGGTTCGATTTTCAAAATTACCTCTCTCGTGCATTATATTTGTAGCATTGTTTACGTTTAAAAATCGATGTATATGATACTGATTTTCTAAAAAAATTAATTTTATATCTTTGAAATTCATATTTTGTTTTTTATTTTTTTTATTTATTTACTCTTCCTTGTATGAAAAGATTTTGTTGATCTTTTAACGTCGACAATGTCTTCTTCAGAACTAGTTTGTTTCTTAAATGTTGCACATGCTCTCTTTTATAATTCAATTATATGGGATAGATAGATAATGATCGCATAGTTTAGAGGATGTCAGTACGAACGCAGATGACAAAAGCAAATACTGTGGTAAGTGACATGAAACGATGACAAGAGATGATCCTATGATTTTTTTGTAGATAGTAGAATATATGACAAAGAAGAAGGATAATAAAAATAGTTTTTCTTCTCTATTATTTCTATCTTCCCTTTTATTAACTATTAGCAATCGTATGATCAGTTCTTGTCATTTATTCCAACTCCTACGATATGTTTGTTCTTTACTATCTGATTATTTTCTTATTATTTGTTCATATCAGTTATAAAATATTTGTTTTTATCATCAGTGATTGTGTTGATATTGCCTACGCTATGCTATCATCATTATCATAATCTATTCATGTAGTTAAATTATAAATAAGAGAATGCACAACATTTAAGAAATAACAGAGTTTTGAAAAAGACGTATTGACGTTAAAACATCAACAACATGTTCATAGAAGAAAGAATTGATATCTTGCTGCAATTGTTTCTGGGCAAATAGGTAAACGTTTTACTGTGCAATATTTAAACCTGGAAAAACTAATTAAACGGTTTCTTGATCAGCTTGAATATTACTCATGTTTGTCCATGCAACCGCTAAACTTCTCCAAAACTGAGGCGGTATTTAGTGCTCGTGCTATAGGTCTACCGAATTTTAATATATCTTTTGGTTTTAACAATGAAAAGATGATCAATTGGACCAAGGAGTTTAAGTATTTAGGTTATTGGATCACCCCCAAATTAGGCTGGAGTAACATGATCCAAAAAACAATGATAAAAATAAGACAACGCGTCTCGTTGATTAGATCATTTAAACTCTCCGGTTGTTCCTCCCCTCAGTTAAGACGTGCCCTATTCGCATCATACGTTCTGCCATTATTTACATGGATTTATCCTCTATTCCCACTCTTCTCTGATAAACAAAGAAACGACCTCTCTCATTTCTATTTCACATGTCTTCGTAAAGTTATGTTCTCGTCGCATTGGAATGACTTTTTTTTTGCATATGCGATGAACGAAAAATCATTGGAAGACAGATGCTCTTCATACTGGGACAAATATTTGGTAGCTTTGGCCGACTCTATTGATGGGAAACTGATTCTGGAGAAAGCCAACCTAAATGTTTATAGGAAGGCGTGGCGCCAGGGTGAATTTCCCCTGAAATGTCTTAGGCGTTCCAGAAGATTCGTTGAGTGCACCTCCATATTAGAAAAAGTTGTCTCCTGGCTTAGGTCAGTTCCTTGTTCTTCATCAATTCCCTTCTTTGAGATGGAAGATGTTCAACTTCTCCAAGAATATCCCGAAACATTCTAGTCAAGATTTCATTACGTTCTCAGTCCACGCACGTTGACGTGAACTTGTCTTCCTTCGTTGATCGTTGGTGTTCTTTTGTGTCCACTGCTATGTTCGTTTGTTTTCTACCTCTTGCATTCTCTTTGCTGGTGTTTGTTGCGTGCTCTTTCCTTGGTGTTCGTTTTCTCGTTCGGTATTTCTTATTTCTTGTTCCATTGATCATTATCTTTTCTTCTTTTCTCTCTATTCAACTTCTTTTTTTCTCGTCTATTTGTACTGGGAGGATCTTTCTGATCGCAGTTAGAGCGTAATAAAAAAAAAAAAAAAAAAATATCTAAGATGCACACCAGCAGCAAAAATAAATTTTTGTTTCTCGGAAAATTTTGTTTTACTTGTACTCTCTCTCTCTCTCTTCCTCGGACATCCTGTGCACATCCTCTCCTAGCTACGTCCCTGCATGTACACGTTTTTGCGCGCTCATAATACCATTCGAAATCCAATAACTCAAAATATCGCCTTGAGTTTGATCTTGAAACAAACTGTATCCTCAGTTAGCATACTTGAGAAAGCGAATATTTGCACAAAGCATAAATAAAAAAATCCATTCTACAAGCCACTGGTCAGATCGAGGCGCGCCTCGATTATGAATATGGGGCAGTCTAGAACTAATCGAAATATATCATTCAGATCTATCTCACACAATGCTTTCATCACCGGAACAACTTCCAAAATGAATATTTGGTCATAATATGAACCAAAAACCGCTCTATCACCAAATATTGTCCTGTTACATTGCCACATGGGCGATGAGCAGGCGTCAATTTAGGATCAATAGATAGAGTTCGTCCAATTCTATATGGCACAAGTGTTTTCACAAGTGGCACAACTCTCAATATGAATATTAGGCCGGAATACTGAGTTTTGCACTAAAATCAGTGTTTTAAAAAAGCATTTTGTTTTTGTTTTTCAGTAATTTCTCTCAATATAAATTCTTTGAAAGCTAGGTATTTCACAGTATATTCGATGCTCTATTTGTCACAAGTTCGTTGACGAATATTTCCCCAAAAATAGTCGAATCTGCTGCTAAGTTAACTTGCGTGTTTTTGATCTTGTTCGTCGTAAAATCGTCTATTTGTCAATTATCTTAGATTATGTATTAGTCATCCTGTGCGTCCTGTTGACTTTCGTTTGTCTTCCTATTTGATAATTTGTGTTTTTTCTTTTCTTTTTATTTTGTGATGTTGTAAATAAATAAAGATTTGTTAATAAAAAAAAAATGATAAAAACAGACGAAATAACATATAGAATAATTAAAATGAATAATACTGTCTAATGAGTCAATATAATAAAATAAAGATAATAAATAAATTCTATTGATATATACGAAATAAAATCTAACTAAAATCTAATTAGTGTTATAATATTTAAATAGTAATTTTTGAATATTAAAAATTTTATTGATATATAGTTAAACAATTTAAATTTAATATAAATTATTTTTGTTATTGTCAATCGTCAAATTGACATAAATAAGATAATATATATTATTTTTCATTTTGAGATTGTTGACAAAAGTAAATTAGTTGATATTATCACATGTCAATAATATATTTAAGTTTGATTTGCTCAATAATATTATTTTTAGTTATTTTATAATTGTTATTAATTGATTAATCATCTATATTTATTAAGATTTATTTTAAAGTTTTATCAAAGATAAAATGATTTTAGACTAGAAAGAATTTTGTCAATAATTTTCAAATTAGACAACATTATTTAATGAATAAGAACATTGTTTAATAGAAAAAATGTTCAATAATTAAAAAAAGATTTAAAAAAAAAACTGAAATGTTTATTTGTCAATAATTATAAGAGATTTATATTAAAGAAAGAAAAAAAAAAAAACAAAAGTCGAAAAATATTGTCTCGTCGAATAATTTAATTGAATAATGTATTGATAAGTTTTACAGTTTATTCTAAATAAATCATTTAATATTCTATTTGAGAAAATTATTTATTCTTTTTAATTTATCATATTGATTTGTTAAATAATAATAAATAGTTAAAAAGTGATATGATTATTTTTAATATAGATAATTATATTCGAATTAAAATAATCTTAATAGGAATATTTATAAATATGAATTTTATTCAAAAAAATATGCTAATATTTTATTTTTTTATGTCTTTTCATTTGTTTCGTATAAATATTAATTTTAATTAAAGTGAATAGATTTATAAATAAAACATATTGATTATTGATTATGTAAGATTTAAAAAAAAAAACAAAAAAACATTAAAAAGATAAATTATGTTCTGTATAAAGAATGGAACATAGTAATAACCATTGTTTATATGATTTGACAAAATCAATTTGATTTTTTTGATAAATATTTTGTTGAATAAATAAATAATCATATGGTATATTTATAAAATCATTTGAAGATAATGATCTTATTTTATCTAATAAAATCATAGAATGTTCAATAGAATGAGCAATAGATTTATTTAACCATTGTTGATCAATATTATCAGGTAATTTTATTGTTAATAAATAATTATTATTTGTTAATAATAAATCTTTAGATGATTTTATTGAAGATAAACTATTTTTAATTGATTTTTTTCTTATTTGATATGAATTTGATATAAAAGATGATCGATTTGTTGAATAAGAATATTCTGATAAATTTGTTCGATTATTTTCAATTGAAATTGATTTCCAATGTTGAATTTTTTTATTTAATTCCCGTTCAATTTCATCTTTATAAGCTGAAAGTAATGCTAATTGACCTTTATATGAAAGTTTATCTCTTAATAAATAATTATTATAAATATAATTATCATATGATGTTGATCTATATAAATATTCAATATATTCTTTATGTTTAATATTATCTTCATATTGTTTAATTAATGATATTAATCTATGACGTTCAATTAAATCTTTTCCTGATATATCTTCATTATTTATTTCAAAAAACTTTTTAGGTATTATTAAAACACCTAATTTAATTAATATTGGAACTAAATTTTCAAATTCACCAGGAACTAATTGACGTATATCATCAAATTTTTTTCTATCGATTTCTGATAATGATGAATTCAATTCAAGTGAACATAAACGATCTTTATTAATTGATGATAATATATAAGAAGGTGTTGATTCAATAGATGATACTATTGAAGAAGTACGTTCACGTTCACGTTCACGTTCAAAATGAACATTTGATGAAAATGAAGATTGACGTGAACGTGTTAATGGTGTTAATGATGATGATGATATTTTTGTTGAAAGAGATAAAACATCATTATTTGATGAACGATAAAGTCTTGAATCTGTTATTAATGTTTGAGGATTAGGAATTATATTTGATAAATCATTTGATTTTCTTATTGATTTTTCATTTAAAATAGTTGTTAAATTATCTGATTGTTGATTATTTTCATCAATCGAAATTAATTTATTATTAAATTGATTATTAAAAGAAGATGAACGACGTTTTGTTTCATTTTCATTTGTTTTATTAGTAGAAGTTAAATTTTGTGAAAATTTAACATGTTTATCTTGTTGATGACCTTCAAGCCATTTTTGAACAGCATCTGTTCGATTAGGTGAATCAACTTGTTTTATATTCATATGTTCAAATTGAGTAGAATTATTTTCGAATTTTTCGTCTTTTTCAATATTTTTTGAAGAAATTCTTCTTGAATGTTTGACAACATCTAATCTATATGTATATAAATATAAATATAAATAAAATAAATCTTATCAATTATAATAAAACAATAAATTACCGATTAGAATTGAGATTTATTGCTGACAATTTTCTATTTGCGTTCATATTTATTTCAAATAAAATAATCTTTTTGTTTTCAACAAAATACTTTTTATAAGTCTTTTATCATCGTTTTTTATACTCTTTACGTATTTTTTTAAAAGATAATAACATATAAATGACGCATTATTTGCACAAGAATACGAAACATTTTAAGATTTATCATTGAAATTCTTTCAATATTTTTTTTTTCTTCTATTTTCAATTGTTTCAAGATAAATCGTAACTAAACAAAAACAAGCATTGAATATTTGCTGTTACAGCAGAAAAATGTCTACATAATTAATAAACAGATTTCTCTTTTCATATATGACTATGTAGATCATATTTAAGTTTCACTCGACTACAAAAACTGTTGTCAATACTCAATCTCAGTATTCGAAAGAATTCATATATATATATGTATATATATATCATTATAATAGAAGAATTATTTTTCAAAAATTTATTGACTCATTTGCTTTTTCGAACTATTAGTCGAACAACAAATAAAGAACAAACGGTAGTTTTTAAATCGAAAAAAATTAATCGTAGAATAATGAATATCAATAAAAATATTTTTTTTGTTTTTTTATTAAAAATTTTTTCCAAATTTATACACTTGACAAATAAGAATAATCATTATTGAATTTATTTTCTATATCATGACTTTTCTTAAACGTTTATTAATTCATCTAATTAACAATTAATAAATTAATTTTATTTAACAATATATTTTTACAATAAAAAAAATATTGGATTATTTATTCGAAAGATTTTTCAATTGGTCATTAAATTGAGAAGATAAATATTATTTAATATATCTATTAAATATTATTTATTAATAATAAAAACAAAAATGAAAACAAAAACCTAAATAAATGCTGATATATATTATTTATCAAATCGAAACCAATATTATTCATAATGAAATTTTTCATAATTGATTAGAATTAACTAAAATATATATCGACTAGAGGCCCCTGTGAAGGGTAGGACTCAAGGGGAAAAGGCGGGACTTCTGGAGTACGTACTCCCACTACTATCCTATTCTTCCACCATACTCCCCTGTACTATCCTACTCTTCCACTATACTCCTCCGTGCTCCCCTGTACCTTCACTGTGCTCCCCTTTACCTCCACTGTACACCCATGTGCCTCCACTGTGCTCCCCTGTACTTCCACTGTNTATTCTTTTATTTTCCACCATACTAACACTTTGCAATATACATATATTAAATACCGGGTAAAACCTTACACTTTCGACATCCCCACAATAATAGCATCTCATTATAAAGAACAATCTAGACTCATGTTGAGCGTTTCTCTTCAAAATCGATTACTTTTGAGTTGAAGTCTTCTTTTCGTGAAACATAAACACTTTTTGCTACAATAAACTTTCTGAAGTTAACTTTTTTCTTGTTCTTAACTTCACGTGATATAATGGAAACGTAAGAAAAAAATGCGTCTGTATATTAAGCACTTTTAACTATTTTCTTCGATGTTCACATTACAGAATTTCCATTCGGATCATTTAAAGTTATTCAATTGACGTATTGAACTTCCTATAAAGATTAACAGTTGAATATATTTTATTATTATCATGATATTAAACCCAAAGAAAAGTAGACAGGCAGGCCAGGCCGAAGAAATTTTATGACAGGCGCAGGGAGGCCAAATATCTGTAGGCCTGTCACAGGCAGGTCAGGCCTTTAAAAAGTGGGCCTGCTTGGACCTCTGGTTGGTTTATATAATTGACGAATAAAATTTTCAATTGTTGCCAAGGAAATAAAAAGGAAAAAGATGATAACTGCACTTCTTTTACAAGATTTTATTGTCTTTTTATTATACTGATTGTTGCTACTTGTTCGTCAGATTTAATTTCATTTTTCTGGCTAATCTTGTTTTATTTAATAAAAAAAAACAACAGGAAAAAGATAATGATGTAATAAATTATTATGATTATTATGATCAATATATATGATATATGTGTTGTTGACTATCCAATATATTGCAACGAGCACGCAGTATCAGACTTTGTTTCTACTTAATTTCTTTCTGAGAAGACTTTACTTCGAATATAAGAGTAAAAAAAATCTCAAAAATTTACAGAAAACTGTTTGATATGACACAAAAAAAAAGAAAACGAAAACAGACATTGTTATTGTAAATCTGTTGACCTCTGAAGCTGACGAATAAGAAAATAATATAGTCTCATAGCGATAATTGTTGACAGAAAGAACAATAATGCTTTGTACCATTGTTTATGAAGATGTTTAACAAGAGTGAAGCATAACATAAAAATCGCTTGATATTAAAACAAAATATGACAATAACAAAATTAGAAGATCTTTCGGTCGAGTTGTTCTACGAAATATTTATTTATTTCCAGTTTCATGAAGTATTCAATATTTTTTCTAATCTCAATTCTCGATTTGCTGCTATTGTTAATAGCATGCCACTTATGCCTGTTTATTTGGGTCTAAATGCAATGAGTACAACAGTAACTGAATTCTATTACACACATTTATCACAATCGAACATATGTGAACGTCATATTTCATTATGTGTTTCAAATGAATTAGCTTTTGATAATGGATTATGGTTTGCATCACATGTATCTACATTCAATAATCTTCGTCATTTATCCTTAATCGACATTAAACGTTCTTCTTTCGAATTGATTATTAATGCATTCTCACCCAATACTCCTCTCATCATGTTTGCAATACGATTTTCAACTTATACTCGTGCTGCTTATACATATGTAGGTGTGTCTGAAGTTGCATATTACGAACAAATCTTTCACTTATGTCCTTCTTTACGTGGATGTGATCTACGTTTCTGGCGATACATATACGACACTCTAGACGATCAAATAGTTCTATCATTTGATGAAGGTTTCATGCCAATTGAAACAAGTCTTTTTAACTTATAATCAATTGTAATTCGAGAATATTCATCAGCCTTTCTGTCACATTTACTTGAACATCTTCCACAATTGGAAGATCTCAGCTTTGGTCTGACTATTCCTTGGCTACCTGATAAACATCCACTAATGAATGGTGTTAACAAGTAAATTTCTTTTCTTGAGCTTAGAATAAAAAATATGAAATATGTGAATTCATTTAATTATATTATAATAAATTATAGATGTGAAAGTGAATCATTTCTGAAATTGATAATATCCTTTTTCACTAATTTCCATTTCAATTGACTAAAAAGTGTTTAATTGTAAGATGACAATTTGAAAAAGTTTAGGAGTTGAAAATAAGTTGTTTCAAAGATTTAAAAAAAAAACTCGATGAATATGAGGAGATTTTTTGAAACTAGTTAGATATATGAAATTCTATGTACACCTATAGATTGATAAATGTAATTAGAAATGAAGAACATCTTTTATTTCCGATGAGATTAAGATATAGTTTACTGTTTTTTCAATAGAAAAGGATGATGAATTCTTTTTAATCATAGCAAAAATAGAGTCTTTCATAATCGATTTTATGATTGTCGTATTTCTCGGTATATGTTTAATCGAAAAACTCTTCTCTTTTTTTTTGTTTTAAGTACATCCGTTAACATCTATTTCAAACTCGACATATAATAGAACATAAAAAGCTTTCAAGTTACCACTGAATAAAAATCGATTAGCTCTTGAGGAAGTACTACGATACATTATAAAATAACTTGCAATGTGTCAATGATTTTCTTTGAAAAAATTTTTTGCAATATTCAAAGATGAAGAATTTCGAAAAAGAGAAAAGTTTCTATATAACAAAAAAAAAGAAAGCGCCGTACGATAAAAGACATTATATTGAAAAAAGCCTATTCGTCATTAATCCTTTCTTTTCGAAAGATAATCATGTAAAGCGAGCTTGAAACTCAAATATTTTTGTTTAGTGTTGATAAAATAATTTTTTAAAATAGCAATCATCGGCTTGTAATGCCAGCTTACATAAGAAAAGAAACCACCAGTTTTTTTTTTGATGCGACACATTATCATTCTGTTATTGTGAGTCTACAATGTTCACACCTGTAGATATTTGCGAGTAAATAATTAAATGGATTGAGAATGTATATGAAGATGTACTCATAGTGATCTTAAATCAATTGTTATGGTTCCATTAATAAACTTGTTTTAGATTTTCTTCGTAACTTTTTCTCAAATATATATTTGGATATCAATGGATAGATGCTGTACAAAAGACTTTTTATAGAAAATACTGTTAATTTCAAAGAAAGAACATGTTCCACATAAATATGAATAGATGCAATTAGATGAAGAAGAAAGCTGAGTTTAATATAAAGTTCGTTCTTTGATGAATCTGATACACATAATGATGAGATAAAAAATTGTTCTGTGCAAGTTTTTTTAAAATTCCATCTTTTCTATATGATCAAGAGAAAAATATTTTGAATATAGAAATAGGAAATATTGTACGTAAACAGGACATTGATGTTGTTTGATATGGTGTAGATTAATGATGGAAAATAGTATGTTTCAGTAAAAAGTCAAATAATATATCATGTATTTATGATTATTGCAAAATGTTTTTTGTTAATCTATTTTAGTCGAGTCTCTAAGGTTGACAAACGTCTGGTTCGCAATCTACGGCGTCTTAAAATAACGTTGAAAAATAATATTCATGGTGTAAAACCACTTGATCAATTATTTGACCATGATGTTTTATTTTCGCTGACGAACTTCACATTATTGGGGCTTGTAATTGGAGCTGATGTTGTTCGCAATTTACTCTCTATGCTTTGTCATCAATGTTCATATACGTTGATGGTTAGATGGCATGTGGAAACTATGATATCACTATCAGACACAACTGTCATTTTGTTAGATACGTTTCGACAACTGCAAAGCCGAATACCAATCGAACTAGAATTATCTTTATATCATCATGGTTATTGTAGTAAAGCTTTCACGATTCCACGAATTGACAAATATTTATATGTTGATGACTATTTAAACAAAAATATTGTTTACGCGTATGTAGAAATTTCTATTTTTTTTTCTTACGACGAATGGTGTTTTTCTAAATCTAGACAAAGTCGATGGTCATCTATTTTGCCGATCTTGAATAATCGTTTTGTATACATCAATAAGATTTATATGGATGGTAGATATTCTGAAATAAATGACAAATATCTCTCTTATTTATCAACTATTATTTTATGGCATCAAGTTACTTCACTGGTGATCACTGATTCATTGGATTTACGTCAATTGCGTTTGTTAGTATCGAAAATGATTAATTTACGTACTCTAGAGCTGTATTTTCACTTCAATTATAAATCTGACGCCGATTTGAATAAGCAAAATTTACTCGATCTTCTCAATGATACTTCTTTGTGCAATATGCTCATGTCAAACGAATTAAAAAAGTTAAATCTTAATACGAATTGGGAATATCCAGATATGATAGGGATTGCTTCTTTAATCGCGAAAGCAATTGCCACATCTGCAAATCATAGAGTTAAATTGTCATAATAGTCAAGTTCCTGAAGCATTACATATACTTATAAACGGTCTGCCGAAATTGAATTTTCTCATTTTTCGCGGTGGTTTGACAGGTGGAAATCAACAGCATTCAAAAATGCGTGATCTCTGGAAGAATAGTACGCGTGCTTACCGAATGGAGTGTTATAACCCATTGATAAATATTGATGAATCAATACTTTATTTGTGGCTTCGATAATATTAAACTGTTACATTTCTCTATTTGTCGATACTTATATTTCTCGTTGTAAAAGTATAATACATTGAGAGTTGAAAACTTTAATAAAAAACAATTCAGGGCAAAAATTAATTATTTACGTTTTTCATTTTTTTTTAGAATATTTCTAATAGAATCGAGTAAGAGTTATCAAAGAGGTACAACGGGCAGAAATATTAAAGCTTATTCAATGTTAATAAGAGTGTTGAATGATGTTCTTATCATTATAAGTTGTTAAAAGAAGCAATCAAAGTTTGAACTATTATAGATGGATTCAATAGTAATAGAGATTGAATAAAAAATTCGGTGAAAGCAAATATCCTTTTTTGCAGAATTTTATCAATTTTTTCACTTTCTAAAACATTAACATCATAATGATTTGAGCTTTTTTTATAAAATATATGATCACATTTATCATTATAAACTATGAATAACTGCACTTAGACAGATATTCAATATGTACATCGATTGAATTTTCATTGTATTTATTGTTTATTTCGGAGCAAATATATGTTGTTTCCTACCATTTTATTCATAAAAGAAACATTGTCTTTCATAATATAATGTCAAAGATTCAAAAAAATGCATGTAGAGAATATCTTTGCAATATATGCATTAAAGATATATGTATGTGTGAGTGTGGGTATGGGTGTATATCTAAATTCAAAAATAAATTGTTCCATTAGTCTGAATACCGGACCCAAACTCAAACTCAAACCCAAACTCTATACCCAAACCCAAACCCAAACTCCCAAACAGTTTGGGTTTGAGTTTGGGTTGGGTGCATGTCTACTCATCGCCTTTCAAATTAAAATTTTTTTTCCCTCGTTTTATTCGCAAAATGGTACAATAATTTTGCAATTCACTCATATATATGAAAAATATCTCTCGAAAGTCGAATTAACGTTCAAGGACAATGAGATAATGAGTACAAAGAGTTAACGAATTGATCGTTATAATGGCGTGTATATTCTTATTAACGACAACATGTGTGATACTAGTACGCGTGATACATTTTGTTTTAGTATTTTATATTTGTACTTTTTCATATAACGAAAAAGAAAATTATGCCATGTTTTTTTTTATTTCCTGATTTTGATAGTAAATAATAGTTATAACGAATATAAAAGAACGATCTTAAGTTCAAATTTCTATATTTATGAAACGAAATTTTCTTTTTTTTAAGTAAGTAAGAAATGAGTAATTCCTTGGTTGATTTCAATATAGATAACGTTCTATTGTGGTTCTCATTTTTTTCTAATCAATAGAATTTTTAAAAAGCAGTATCTATGATCGACAGAGAAGACATTTTGCATTTTGATCTCACGTTGATTGCAAGAGTAATAAAATCAGGATTGTCTCTGTTATTAAAATGCTTTTCAGCAAATTCCTCAAGGATAATGAGTTTCTTCTATTGAGATGAACAAGAAATTGATCAAAAAAAATATAATAATTAAATTGTATTATTTTAATTAGTTTGGAAGATGATATTTAAAAATGCCGTGTTGATTATTTATCGGTATTAAATGAACGAAGCCAAAACGATAAGTTGTGATTAATTCATTATTGTTAATAGACGAATTTATCTTTGAATTGGCTATCTATAAAGAATGAAACTGATAATACCATATACAAAAATTTTACTTGAATCTATTCTATTTAATTAACATAATATTATATACATATGTTCCTAGAATTAGATATCATTCATTAGGAGTATGTTAACAGGACACCGCGTGGGACGTCCCATGAAACGCGATGCGACGAACGTTTTTCAACTAGTACTATGAGAGAAAAAGTAGTAAAATATTTTTTTCCACAAGATTCTATGCATTATGTAGTTGTCGATGTAGGTAGTTTCCGTTAGACGCTATGGTCAGTTTCAAGAAATCTTTTGTATATATCAATCGATATTTCCAAAAGATTTATTAAGTCCGATCACAGCGTCTAAAGGAAACTACCTACATCGACAACTACATAATGCATAAAATCTTCTGAAAATGTTTTACTACTTTTCCTCTCACAATACTAGTTGAAAAACGTTCGTCCCATCCCGTAAAATAGGACGTTCCACGGGGAACCTTGATATATAAACGACTCATTTTGTTATTAATTATCGAACTATTTCAGGTATGAGATAAATTAATCCTACTCCATGTCTGTCTTACATAGAAGATGTAAGTTCTGAACGTTTTGCCTATAAAAAGATAAT